GTCGCGTGTAATAACGATAAGAAGCGTCCCGGTGGGAAACGTTACCTTCCCTTAGTAGCGAACCACAGCGAGAGCTGCTCGCTGGGAAGGCGAGCAGGGAGAACCACCCGCCGGCCGGGCAGTCGCGACCCTGCTGGCGCCGCGCGACGTCGTTCCGAGTCGCGTGGCAGAGGAATAGCTGCGGATTCCCCGCAGGATTCCCTCAGCAGARCCAGGTGTCCTCAGCTGTCTGCGCTGCTCTTCCTTTTCAGCTTCCTGCGCTGCTGAGCAGGATTCGCTGGAGAGCCGCGGAAAAGGGGAGAAGAGGAAGTGCCAGGAGGAAGAGAAGAATGGCAGGGAAGAACTTGTGGAAAAGAAAGTTTGTAAAGGTTTTCAGACAATTTGAAAACAAATGTACTCGATTTGTACTKTTGACAGGGGGCTGAGTAAGTCCAGATCAGAGCTCAGCTTTGGTTCTTGCGTGYGCTTGCCATGGCCGCCTCTTGGGCAGCAGGCTGCTGAGGTGGCTTGGGAAAGCCCTGAGCTCTGTGGCTCTCCCTGCCTCTTTCCGTGGGTCCTTTCTGTCCTGCTGAAGGGGCCTGAGGTCACAGGAGTTGCCGCTTTTCAGTGTGCGAGTTCCTGTGCAGTTTCACGTGGATTTCTTTTGCCAAATCCACCAATCCATCTGTGAAGGGGCTGCTTGAAAGCCAGMGAGACTCACGTTGGTGCAGAGCATGCTGGTCAGCGCCCGTGTGTTGCGCTCAGCCTTGGCAGCAGAATGTGCCCGGCGGTGCAAATAAGACTTTCCAGAAGCAGCAGACTCAGCCTTCTTAGCYTCCTCCTCAAGGAGGAGGCTTTGTTTAACCTAAAATTACACCTGTGTTGTTTGTGCTTTGTTTAACCTCCAATTGGTCGTGTGCCCCTTTTAAGGACAGCTCAGCAGGATAGAGGCAAAGAGCTTGTGCAGCTGCGGATGTTGAGGGCGCTTGAAAACTCCTGGAGTGTCCCGTGTTTGGCAGCAGGTGGTGGGAGCTGTTTTGAACGTTGCAGAGTGGTTGCTGATGCTGCTCCTTCGCCCGCACTCCCAAAGGAATTTGATTTCTGTGTGCCTGTGTCTGCTCTGTGTCCTCTTAGGCTCCGTGGRCCTCCTGGGCTTGAAGGGCTACGTGGCGGAGAGGAAGGGCGAGCGCGAGGACATGCAGGACGCGCACGTCATCCTGAACGACATCACGGAGGAGTGCCGGCCCCTGCCCTCCCAGATGTAAGCGGCTGCCGGCTGGGAAAGCCGAGGCTAAAACCGCGGCTCGCGGCGTGGTGAAGGAGCCCCGGGGCTGCTGCCACGCGGCTCCGTTCTGCTTCGAGCAGCTGCCGCTSGGTACCGCAGCGGGGCTGAGCTTCCCGCCCGCGGCGTCGCTGCGAGCGCACGTGCCGGAGCTGGCGGGTCTGTTAGACCGCTGTGCGCTCGGTGCCGTGCGCTTGTAGCGCCCTCGGTGCAAAATGTGCAGCCGCTCTTAGGCCGGGCTGTGGGCTCTGAGCTCTCGCCTGYCATTCGGGTCGGGGAGTTCGGAGGAAAATTTTGTACTTGAACGTGCAAATTGGGCAAAGGTCTAAATGTGCGAGCATGGGGACTTGCAGCTTTGGGGACTCGCAGCACGGCATGTCTCGGGCTCCGGCAGGACAGGGGTCAGGGAAACAGACGTTCTCGGTCTCCTCTCCTGGCTAACAGGCTTTCTTGGCTGCTTTCTGCTGCTCTTTGCTCTTCCGCAGCACTCGCATCTCCTACTTCGCGGTTTTCGACGGCCACGGGGGAGTCCGAGCCTCAAAATTTGCAGCACAGAATCTGCATCAAAACCTGATTAAGAAATTCCCTAAAGGTGAGAGGAGTGGAATAGGGGAGCAGGGGGCTCATCTTTTATGCCTGGCTTCACGGCTGTCTCTCAGGGAAGTCCGTGTGTTTGAATGCAGTTTCAGGGTTCCCGTTGCTTGTCACAGATGGGCTTGTGTGCGCACAGACCACACGTCGTGTCCCTTGGAAGGGGCCTGGGAGCCTTTKGGCGCGAGGGTGCAGGTGGGAAATGTGGTGTGGGTGGTGAGATGTGCTCTGGCAGCCCCAGGATAAAAGCAGTCCCTGGTGGGGAGGGACAGTGTGGACACAGGTCAGAAACCTTTCAGCAGGACCGCAGTGTCCCTTCTGCTTCTCTGCCAGGCGAGGTAGTCAGCGTGGAGAAGACTGTGAAGAGATGCCTTTTGGACACCTTCAAACACACGGATGAAGAGTTTCTAAAGCAGGCATCCAGCCAGTAGGTGTAAATGCTTCACACGCATTGCTATTTCATCCCCTGTCTCTCTCAGGCCTCAGTTTTGAAGGGGACAAAGGGAGCTTTGAGTGGCAGCTGTGCTTCTGCARCCCCAGAAGCACACACAGCACAGCTCTGTTTCTAAAACAGAGCTCTCTTCTAAAACACAGCTCTCTTCTAAAACAAAGCAGAAACTTTTTTTTTTTTAAACGTATTTTCTGTGGAAGGAGTGCCAGCCTACCTCCCAGCTTTGCAAACACCCTTGGTTTTTCTCAGGCCCTGATGAACTCTCATGCTAACAATGATCTGGGACTAAGGAAGACGCAGGGTTGGGTTAGAGTGTGATCACTTTGTTGCTGGTCTCATGTTTTTTCTCCCCCTTTAGTCATAGTGTCACCTCTAACATGGCTGGGGAGATTCTCGATGYGTTGGTTTTGAGCCTGCCCGCAAACACCCAGCTTTAATTAAACACTGTCTTAGTCTCTTAAACCCAATCAATTAAACAAGGTTGGCTAAGCAGGGGGAAAGGAGCTCTGTTAAAGCAGTGTCGCTCCCAAACCAGCCTCTGTTTGTTCAGAAACATGACTTGGGACAAAGCTGCTATTGCAGGGGTGCTGCACTGATGGCATAAAACAAGGTGAATGTTGTTCATTCAGCTGCACCTTCAAAATTGGGGGGGGAAAAAGTCAGAAGATGTCGGGACTTCAGTGTCTTGGAGATAGTTTTAGGAAAGAACAGCATCATTGCTGGGCTCCCTTATGGAAAGGACTGGTTTGGCAGCTGTAATCTAAGGAGCACTTCTCATTTTACCCAGAGCTCTACAGGTACAAGCTTAACTACAGCAAGGGAAATACCAGGAGGGTGACTGAAGTTGTGCTGCTGCTGCAAGGCAGGGGGACTTAGGGCAAGGCCTGACACAGGCAGATGTACTGAGGAGGAAAAGCAAGAGAAACGAAAAATAAAACTCTTCAAGTCCTGACTGTTCCTCCTTTTTTGCTGCAAAGAGGGAGCCTTCCTGAGGGAAGATTCGGGGTGCTGGTKTGCTCAAAACACTACAGCTTCTGGGCAGGCAGTGGCGCTGAGCCTGGGCTGTGCGTGGATGAGCTGTCCCTGGAGCTCGGCATGGCTGGCAGTCCTTGAAAGATCTGGGTGCAGTCCCCTGAGAAGCAGGACCGAGCGGTGGC